TTTACGTACAAATATATAGAAATCAGGCAACAGTTTGCTATAGCGTTCGTGTATGTGTATGTGTACACTCTCAGCAGGGAATAAGGCTAACTATTAGTTCAAGGTAACAAGCGAACCCAAAACCACGACGACAACAACCAACAACAGCGGTGGCATGAAACTAATGATACGAGTTTCTATTTAGAGACGTGATTGTAGGATTTCAACAGGTAGAAAAAACGAACGCAACAAAACAAAAAGAAGAGAATATGAAAATGTTTCGTATTTTCAGCAAATAAACGAATACACACATAAACAAACAACGATCAGTGTATGTGTGTATGTATGAACAACTGTGTGTGCGTCATTTAATATTTGTACATGTGCGTGTATTCGAATTCGAAGAATTTACGTTTAAAAAAATTAACTACGAGTGTGAGCACATTTCTATGCATGCCTGTATATTTATTTCTATGTGCATGTGCATGTGTATATAATACAAAGCGGTTGTATCCACTCTTCGTTAAATTGTTTATGAATACTTCGCGTAAAAACAGAAGCTTGCATGAAGTCGGCCAAAGAATGTATATTTGTAATTTGCCGTCGGTATAACAGGCATACGCACTTATTTTGCCAGCAAGTCTTTTTGTTTTTAATTTATTTAAATTGTTAATATTTGTATTGAAGTTGGATGCTTTAACTTTGGCACAAGAACCTTATAGTTTGCAATATACATTAATCAATTTTCGCAATCATTTGATGCTTGTGTATTTGTATCTTTTTTTCTATTATTTGTATATACTTACATACATGTGTGCACTCCGATATAATCGTGCATGTGTGGGCATTCAAATACAAGAGTATACATGTATATTCGTGGATTGTAATCATTTAAGGATAATATTGCCTACACATTTAAGCAATGCATACTGAATTTTGATACAAGAACTATAAAATGTAGCTTTTTAGCGTTAATATAACTTTTATGCATGTTAACTTTCAGTGGTCACACGCATTTGCCGCTACACAACGCATACATTTACACATACGCACACACGCGCGCGCACGCAAAATACACAATCAAATGCAGACGGTGACGATCGCGAAGCCAAAGCCAGCCACACTTTACACATATGTGAACAGATACTCAGCCAGATACAGTCATATGCATGTATGCATCAGTATCTGTTAATTAACATATATATACATGTATATATATATATATGCATTCCTCTATATATATATGCCATGTAGCTTGATTTTATTAAGCATAAAATCAGACACGCAACGCGACGGTGCGATCCTTCATTTATAGAATTTTTGCCTGAACTTTTTCAAATTAAAATATATATTTCACAATCAATTTGTCACTAAGACCACTATTTTTGATTCAATTATAATTCAAATGCGCTAAATTAATAATTAAAAACCCTTGAAAATATCACACAACCGCTTTCATCAACCTCGCGCAACATAAACTAAAAATTAACAGAGCTTCGATGCTTCCGTAACGCAACTGAATGCTATAGTTAACAGTAAGCGTTGAAGGGAAATTTTAAAAGGGCAATGTTAACCATAACAGCGCAAATGTAATGTATAACAGCTGGTGCATATCAAATATTTTTAAAAGGGCAATGTTAGACAGAACTAGCAACTGTCATGTTTTCAACGCTGGTTAAAAATAAACAGCTGTTGCATGAAATTTTAGCTATCGATAAAAATGTATTGAAAAACTTTTCATCGATATTTTCTTACACAGTATAGTTTAGTATTACCACTAAACACAGAACTAGACTAGAACCACGATTGAGTGAGTCTTTTAACAGTGCTCTGGTTGGTGGTATTACTGTCGACCGACTCACCGGTTGTTCCACCAAAAATTAACAGCTGACATAAATTGGAATAATACCGATATATTTGAAACAAAATTTGACTTAAGCAGGACCAGACCTCCACTTACAGTTAGATTTAAACTTATGACGATAAAATAACTTTATTCAACTAAAGGTTTATATATCAATAATTTGTATTTTAACATATCAACAATTTAGATATTTTTAGAATATATATAATGCGTATTTTAGAAATCCCATCGAGAACTGCGTAAAGTCGCCCATGTGCTTCAAATAAGTGGGATATTATCTAAATATAAGAAAAAGACGAAACTTTGGTATTATAGTTCTGATCACGTATATTACTATATATACTAAATTTCAATTTATCAGTTCTACCATCTTAATATAAATGATTTACATGATTTATATTCAAATTTATAAAATCGTTCATCATTAATTCACTGCTATATATATATAAATGGATCTCAGCCTTCACGTTATATATAGACGAAAATTAATGAGTTCAATTTCACAATAACTAATGCTTAATTTAATAACTAAAAGCTGTTTAGTATTTTGCTTTGGATTGGAACAGTTCTTCTTCATGGTAGATCGAAGCGAGCTGGGTAAGTTTGTCTTCACAGTAGGATCTATACTTTAAGAATTTACTATATGCGCACCTTGTGGATATCCTGAACGGACATTGATAACCAGAAACCTGCGTTAAAGAGTATATTTTAATATCAAGCATAATTTAGTATATTCAAATAATACGTTTTGTCTGACTTTCATTCTGATTGCATTTTTTCAGTTAACTCAAATTTCATTTATGGTTTAAATGATGGGGAATCCGTAGATAAATCATCATATATCATAATGTATTTTTCAAAGAGATGTCAGTAAAGCT